ATTTTGATGCGTTGTTATTTATGAAAATTTTGATTAAAAGTATATGTTGTGATTTAGCATTAGTTAATAATTTTTTTAGTCAAGAAGGGTTTGGGTCCTGTAGCTTATTGGTTAAGCTCTCAAACCCCCACAGACAAGGTCAACGGTTCGAGTCGGGCTGGTGGTAAATATTTAATTTACTACTGTAACCTATTGAAGCCAAAATCAAATGTGAAGCCCTGTGGAAGTCCATGTGCAAGTACAATGTTGGATTAGGAATTTCTGGAAGGAGACCCAATTATGGAGTACAGGCACTACGTATAACAGCAGTGTTACAGAAGGTTAAGGTTATTAAAGATTATGCAAGTAAGTCCTTGTAGGCAGGCAGCACCAACATCCTTATACTTCCAGTTTAAGCAACACCAACATCCCTACACCCAACTTGTGGAGAACTTGGTTGGGAGAGTAATCATCAGATTGCGTATTTAAGTCCTAAACTAGTATCATAGTACTGGATTTGATTGGGAGAGTGATACAACAATAACTAAAATTAGAGTAGTGAGAGAAGCGGTGAATATAAGAACGGTCTGTGGTAAAGGATTGGCCTTACCAAACTTGGAAGCACCTCTAGCATCCTGCATGAAAAAAACTAAAATTAGAAGGTTTTAAATATAGAGAGATAGTTCTTATCTAGGAAATGTGTAAATGAATTCGAAAAGGTTAGGGTACACCGAGCTGGTAATACTAAGGTACAAAACAGGTATACAGCATTGCAAGAGCACACCAACTTTAAAATACCAACCAAGTTAAAATACTCATATTGGAAGTAATCAAAATATTACGAAACCTCATTAGAAGTAACTGTTTGGAGACAGTTACGCAATATAGCCCATATCTAACCAACTACAGGAGTTTTTGCTTGAAAATAAAAATACAGCATACAAGTACAAATAAATGATTATAAGAGCCGTGAAAGCTAGTACCTTGAAAAAAAAAGAAAAGTCTAGAAGGGGTATTAGCAGATAAAAACAAAAAGACATGAGGGAAATGGTAAATTCCAGTATCTGAAGGGAATACTGACAATGCCAACCATCAAATTAGGGAGTAACCATGTTATCGAGCCTTAGTTGTAATACCTATTTGGAAGTATATTTGTGGCTTATATAAGTAATATGGAGAATATATATAGAATATTAATAAGGATAGTTCAGAAGTGCAAAAAAATCCTGGTCAGGCCTAAAACAGATTAGACCTTACTGAGTAAAATCTAGGTCGCAGATAAAGTAGTCTAAACCCCTATAATATAGTTGCTTCAGTTGTATCACATTGTAATAAATGTATCTATAACGATATTAATAAAGTTATAGAGGTATATGTCGTGCTGACGACCAACACCCCTGGTACTGGATTGGGTTCATGTGACGTGACTGCATCACATGAATGGCATGATCATTGATGCATGAATTTAATTTATAGTCTATTTGTAAGTACTGCATAATGTGTGTAACCGGGTAATTAAGTACCCGGATTGATAATCTAATAAAAGCATATTGATTCCAAAGGAATCGATAATAAGTTTTAGCTTAGTAGAAAAATGTTCTAAAGGATAAACTGTGTAGTCAACATCGTAGTAATATTGGTAGACGACTTGGTATAATATGCCAGTGCCAAGTGAATGTAAAGCCTAAGTAAAAACTGACCAAAAGACCCCATAAGTGCACTATTGCACGACAGAAGGACCTGGGCAAGTAACAGCCTTACTCGCTGAATCTCGTTGGATTTTGTACTATGTGAATGACAGAAAGAACTAGGCAGTAAAACAGTTCTACTCACCTGAAATTGTTGTATTTGAACCTCGTGGAAGCCCAAGAAGATTGTACTTGCTAAACTTGGCCGTGATCAGTGAATTAGAGTTGTCCGGTTGACATTGCAAAGTTAGAAGCCGTGATCAAATGTTGTGCTAAGGCACATTGTTAGTAAAGAGTGCCGTGAGTAAATAAGGACAATAGAAATATGAAAGGATATTGTTAGTGGATAGATAAAGATAAAAAAAAAAAAAAAAAAAAAAAAAAAAAACCGAACATTACCGGAGTAGTGAATTTGAAGAGAATAAAAGGTGAAAATCATTTGATGTTGTTAGTTGAAAGTATGATCAGATTAGTTGTTGAAGTGGTGAAGAGTTTCAAGAAACAAAAGATAAAAGAAAAATGCTACAGACCGCGGCTATGTTACGTTTGTCGACGTCAAGTACATTTGGCCCATTCTTGCCCGGATCAAGTGAGACGTGAATATCAAGAGCAAGTTATCGACGTACAGTTTTTAAGGATTATTGATCCTGAAGTCGATAGTAAAGAAGATGGAAGTCGAACTGAAAAAGGTAAAAAGGGAATAATTACTAATGGGACACTTGAAAATAAAGCGATGCAAATAAGAAATAGAATCATACCTGTGAAATTCTTTAGAAAAGAGGTCGAATTTAACAAGCCAAAAGATGCTGAAATTGATACCAAAAAGACTAAACATAAGCCATTCATTCATTATCAAAGATTAGAAGAGACAGAAAGTACTAAAGGAACTGGAACTGGAAAGAATGAAGATGCAGAAAGAAATGAAAGCAAAACAGGTATTGAAAAGTCTGCGGGTATGAGTCTTGCGGGTGGAACCTTTGATCTTGGAAACTGTTGTCAAACTGAAATAGGTGTTGAAAAGGGTGACAAGAAGGCTTTTGAATGTGGAGATCGAAGTAAAATAGAAAAGGAAAAACCTGCTG